TCATGTCGTCGACATATGCCTCCATGTTTCTTCCGAGCACTGCTCGGAATACCTTGGCCACCATCTGTGTATAGGTAGCCCCAGAATTCCTCAGCCCAAAGGCCATTACTAAGTAGCAAAAAACTCCTTTGGGCATGATGAACAAGGTCTTCTCCGCGTCGTCGGGGTGCATGGAGATTTGATGATATCCCCGAAAAGCATCCATGAAAGAGAGGAGTTCACAGCCGGCGGTCTGATCTACGAGCTGGTCAATGTTGGGCAAAGGAAAAAGATCCATCGGGTAGGCCTTGTTTAGGTCTCTGTAATCTACGCACATCCTCCAAGTGGGTGGCTTGGGAGCCAACACCACATTAGAGAGCCATTCCGGGTACTGTACTTCCCTTATATGCCCAATGCTCAACAACATGTTTACTTCATTCTTTACGAACTCCTTTCTGTCCAAGGATAGGTATCTCCTTTTCTGCTTTACTGGCATTATTTTTGGATCCACATTCAATCGATGAACAGTGATGCTTGGGTCGAGCCCGGGCATATCCTCGGGTCCCCAAGAAAAAATCATCTTGAATTCTACCAGAACTTGGACTATCTCTGCTTTCAGGTCAGCCGGGAGTCCTGCCCCAATTTTCACTTGGCGCTTTGGCCGTGACGGGTCGACCCCGACTTCCTGGAGCTCTGAGGCCGGCTGGGCTCTGAGTTGCCCGTCCTCATCTTTAGATAGGTCTTGTTCAATGGCATTGATCCTCATGTCACTTCCCCCGTGAGCCTTGCAGGCCCTCACATAGCAACTTCTGGCCATCTTCTGATCCCCTCTCACCGTGCCAATCCCAGCTGGAGTGTAGAACTTCATGCATAGGTGGGCCTGGGAAATAATGGCTCCCAGGTCCTCTAACAGGGGTCTGCCCAGGATGGCCTTGTGTACGCTCGGTATTTGGACAATGATGAAGTCCGCTTCAATCTCCCGTATGCAGGGTCCCGATCCGAGTTGGATCTTGAGGGTTATCATTCCCTCGGGCTCAATTATATCTCCAGTAAAACCTGAAAGGGGGGTTCTTACCGGTTTGAGATCTTCTTTCTTGAGCCCAACCTGAAGGAAGGCATCCATGTAAAGAATATTGACCGAGCTGCCATTGTCCACCAGCACCCTGTGAACGATTGTGTCTGCGACCTCCATCTTGATCACTAGCGCGTCCCTATGTGGTGGGGGACATGGGGGAAAATCGTCATCCGTGAAAGTTATTGACTCACGTTTCTGCCTTTTATCGGCGGGAAGACGGTTGATCTCGCCGACAAATAGTTGGCGATTCCACATCTTTCTTTCTCCCACCGTATCCCCCCCACAGGTCTGTCGTAGATCTGGTTGACGCGAGGTCGTTTCTGTCTGCCGGTGTCCTCTCCTTCATCGTCATCTTCAAATTGGGCCCCAACCTCCCTCTTATTCGAGGACGAGGTTGGCGCATCCTTCTCGCGGCTCCAGGTAAGTTTTCTCGCTGGAGGCTATCCTTGCTGGGCTTGCTTTACAAAATGCTCCAACTGACCCTCCCGCACGAGCTTTTCTACATACTTCTTCAGGATGTAACAATCATTGGTCTGATGAGAGTCAGTTTTGTGGATCTTGCAGTACTTGTTCTTGGGATTCTGACTGTGGATGATGTTGCACCCCTCAGGGGCGGTGATCAAGCCCTGCTTCGCAGCATAATCCAGGACAGTACTTACTTGATGCGCAGAAGGGGAGAAATCTGTGTGGCTGGTCAGCGGCCCCTCAGGCACACCTAATTTGCCCTTTCCCCAACCCTTCTTCTTCTTTCTGAACCTATTCCCCTTGTCGGAGTTAAGGGTTTGCTTCTCAAGGGTCTTCTTCTTTTCTCCCTCAGGTTGGTGCTTCCCGGTCTCTTCGTCTCTCTTTCTTCTCTCAGCTTCTTCTACTCCGGCTTGCGCATTTGCTCGCTGCAGGGCCTCCTCGTGTGAGGCCGGAGGGTTTCAGACAAAATCCTTGTACAACTCACCCGATCTCAGAGCGTTGGTTAGTATGGCGACTGCGGAATTGTCATCCAGGTCGTCCACCTTCACGGATTCGTCCCTCCACCGGGTCAAGAAATCAGCCAAGCTCTCCTGGGGTCCCTGTCTGATCCCCAAGAGATGAGAAAAATTCTTCTTGGAATCCTTAGAGCTAGCGAACCGAGTCACAAAAGCATGGGCCAACCCCCTAAAGTTCCGAATCCTCCCATTAGGTAGGGAATCATACCACTCTTGGGCCGGTCCGTCAAGCGTTACCGAGAATCCCCTGCATTTGATGGCATCTTCATACCCCATCATCACCATATATGCCACGTATCTGGAAACATGGTGCTGTGGGTCTGTCATCCCTCGGTATGCCTCTATATTGCAAGGCTTATATCTTTGGGGTAGTGGAGTGTCCATAATCTGACGAACAAACGGTTCAAGAATCCTCACCTCATGGTTGGGGTTAATCCTTGCGTCCACTTCCCTTCGAAGCTCGTCTAGCCTCCTCCGGAGATCTTCATTGCCTTGGCCCGCCTGCTGCCGAAGTGGGGATCGTCGATGCCTGCGGCCCTGTCGGTTGGCATTGATCTCGTCTCTGAGATCTCCCCCACGCACACTGCGGCGGTGGGATGAAACAACCGTGGATGATGCCTCCATGCTCGACTCAGGTCGGGATGAGATCCGGTCATGCACGGAGACCCTTTGTCCACTAATCCGGGCCATCACCGCGGTCCTCGGAGTTTGCCTGGAACGACGAGAATGCTGGGATCGGGATGGCGGAGAGCCCCTCCTGGAATGTTCGTGCCCCTCCTCCTGCCGGGATACTGACGGAGCCCGTTGAGGTGAAGGGGATCTCGCATCCTCATTAGGGATGATGCCTTGGAAAGCAGTGGTCAGGGTTTCCACCGCCCTTTGTAATGTTGCCAAACTGGCTAGGGCCTGAGCCGGATCGATATTGGGAATACGGCTCCGTGTGCCAGGCGTCTGAAACTGCGGTGGTCGTGTTGCCGCCTGCCTAAAACTTTCAACGCCTTGGAGGCGGTTTCTCAGGTCCTTCAATCCCGTCGTGTTGTCGTTACGCCTTCGAAAGTCACTCCGTCGTGACCGAGAGCCTTCATCTTCGATCACTACTTGGTCGTGACGATTACCACCCAGATTGCTGCCTCCACGGTTGTGGCTATGAGATCCCACCATGGTTCGTCGCAGATCAAGCTCTCAACGAGAGCACCAAATGATGGAGTTTAATCCAACAACAAGAGCTAAATCTACAGAAGCATATGATAATTTGGCAGCGTAAGACAGTGTTTTATTGATCAAGGTCTCTCTCCCTTTTGGAGGTTTACAAGTTGTATTTATAGGCTAAGGAACTAGTGTCACAAAAGGAAACTGATGCAATAAATGCTATTAATGATGCATTAGCTCGAATAGGAGTCTTGTAACGTCTTGGCAGTTGTGCAATGATTGTTCCTTTATCCCACGTTCCAGCCGTTTAACTTCTGCCAGTTGTCGTTTCCACTGATAGCGTGCCACGTCAGCCCTAGGGATATCCCAGTCTCACTAGAACTCCGCCCAGGCTCGAGGCATGCTTTCCAGCCTGGCCTGGCTGTGGGTTCTTCTCACGGGCTTGGTTCCTAGTTAGGCCCAGTGATTATCTATCATTAATCCCGTTAAAGGTTAATCTCGTTCATGGGCCGGACTCACACAATTGGGCCATGGTCGGGTTCCATGGTACCATCGCTGAGTTTTAAATAAAATATTTGGATAAAAGACAGAATTTTCCTAAATAGAATATAAGAAAATTATTGATACCTTGGTACCTTTTGGGTCTGTAGAGTTGAAATATCACAAAAACAGATATTCCAGCATTCTCATTGATATAATCCATATACTGGGTTATGTATTTGTTCCATAAGACACACCCAGTCTATTACCCCTGTAGTTTGTAGTAGTTTTTATCCATTCGCATTAGAATGTGAATGTTTTATTCCAAATGAATTTTAAATAAACAAATACTCAGCACGGGTCTGCCAAAGTCAGCTCCATCAGCCTTTTGATTTTCCATTAATGACACTGAGTTTGAACAATGCTTTTGCTGATAACCTTCTCAATGATATCTAAAATAGTGGACGGAAAGTGTTGTTAACAGGTTAAGATATTTATTTAGGTACATAATCTGATTTTACTCACCAATGAGAGTTCTGTCATTGATAACCATTTGGGCATGAATCATGTCAAAAGGTTGGAAAGCATAGACCAATATCAGTAGTTCTGTCTTAGTATCTTCCCAGAATTGCTTTTTAGTGATGAACTGAAGTAGGTAGGGATGAGTTGTGATCTTCACCGTTTGGTAATTTTCCAGAACCAAAAAGTTCCTTAGAGCATAGATTTAACGCCCAACTGAACTTAGTGTGATCAATGTCCTTGATCAAAGACCATATCCCTTTTGATGATGAACCTGCCATTACTTAAAATTAAAATTTGGAATTGCTTAGTTGTGGTGTTCTTAGACAACCCACCACTTGGGAATTTATAGGGGCGGATTGGAGCCTCATATGAAACAATTGGATATTAACGAATGGTTATATTTCCACTCAATCTTTACTTTGAGATTTTGTAGTAAAGACATTTAATGGACTATGGCAAAATCCGAATGCTCAGAAAAATAACTTCAGCCTTATTGGCTTTGATTATTACACAAATCGGTGTACAAAATCAAAAGTTACATGTTGAGTGAAAATTAAAGTTAATTGACAAAGCTCATAAATAGAAAATGAGGCTCACCAAACAGACCCTAGAATTGTTTAATATTTCTCCACTCCTTATTATGCTTTTATTTGTTGCATCACAATTTTTAATAATGCACAAGTAGTATTTATATAACATTTTATTTAATGACACTTTATTGAGTACAACTTTATGTGACATTTCGCGACAATAGAAGACTCGGTTAGACCCTTTTCCCTGAAAAAATTGATGTCTAGGTTTCGAAATCGGACCGTTTCTTTTCCGGTTTAAGCCAAAACCGCGGACTGGCTCATATATTTATGCAATCATGTTTCCAACCTCACGGTGTTGGTACTGAACAGAAAAAAAATGAGCAGCAAATATCCTACGCCCGTCATTACTCTCCTTCTGCTGCTGTTGTTTGTTGCTTCCACTGAGAAGACATGCTTGAGTTTCCAGTCCGATGAGCTCCTCGTTGATGACGAAGATTTTGGTCTCGAAGACGGAGTACAAATCGGATCTACTCATCCAGATATCGGCACTGCATCACCACCGCCACCTTCTCAGGTTCAGTCCACCCGCAGAAAGTCATCTGCTACGGACGGAGATTCCAAGATCGAATTCTATGTGGAACACGCATTTGGAAGCTCCGATTTCTTACCCGCCGGCACATTCACCGCCCGCCTCAAGACATCTTCTCATAGCTGCCAGGTTCGTTTACCCCCTTCAGAATATCCCCTAATCTCTAGAATGATTTTTTGTGTGTCACCTATTCAAATGAAATAATCGGTGACTCTTTTCTTTGTCTTAACTCTGGCGAGCATTCTTCTCGGGTACAATTCTTCGATCGCCACTGTAATTTTTATCCTACTGAAAAGATGCTTCCTTTATGCTAACCACTTCTCTCTGATCATAAGTAATTAAGTGCACTGATTAGAAGCAAAGATCGGAAGTCTAGAAGGCTACTAGTACTCAGGCTATATTCGTGGCAGACAAATCCAATTTAACTACAATCCTGTAGTTATCTTTGAGGCTTGGAGTACCAAGGGTTTACTAACTAGTTCTCTGCTAAAGAGGCACTTGCGTTTCTGGCTCTTTATACACAAGTATATATTAAAACAGTTTAATTATTTGTTGTGTACTAATGTTTGATTTGACTCAAATGTACCAGAAGCTCACAAAGCTCCGCTTCTCCAGAAGGGCTTTCTCTGAAGCAGAGGAGGAGGATTTCAGAGTAACTCCTCGGTCTAGCTTAATATGTCGGAGCTTCTTCATTCCGTTCACTTATTATGATTTAATTCTTCTATTCAGAAACTCTTAGAAACGGATGATTTCTATGCCATAAGACTGCCGTCCAATGTTTTGAACCAACCTGGAAGGGAGTATGTAGTCTCATCTGTAAAAGCTGTAAGTTCAACACTATCACCTCGATGCAGATAGTTTGCATGCCGCAAAACTGTACTACATATCTTGAGTAACTGTACTGCATATCTTATAAATGCATTTAAGTGCCAAATTTGTGCCTTTCAAATATTTATCTGAAGCATGCACTTAGCATTTTAAGTAGTAAATAATATTAGTGTATTATTTGTGTCCATGCCAGCTTGTGCTGTCCAAAACAATGGTTTGATGGTAAATTGTCTTAACATTGAGTAGTGAAGAAAGCGTATCAGATATGATGCATGCGATCATCTGGTCAAAATTTAATGTTTTAGGAAGAGAGAAATAAATGAAAGTTTACCTTTCACTTTGCAAAAGAGAGGTATTGCTGTTCTTTTTCAGTTTTAACTGAGCAATCATTATCTCTTCCTGTTAGTTGCAGAGTTGCAGTATACCTGATGGGCTATGTAAAGTTTTTTCACATATGCTTTGTTTGGGAGGGGAGTCTTGGATGGGAGGAGAGGGGGAGGGGGAGGCTTACGAGTTACGGCCATCATCTCCTTGTTTGGCAGTTTCTGGAAATGGAATGAATGGTTTTGGCCTTCTGGGCCTGGGGGTGTTTATAAACCCTCGTAACTATCTCTGTGCTTTACTTTTTGAGTTCCTCCAAGCTGGGGTTTTTTGGAGAGAATAATAAAATTACAATTTGCTCCTACTTAAAAAACAAGAATACAGCTCATCAGTTCATTTGCATTTCTTTGGTTTGTCGTTCTCATCGCGACAAATAATTAAAAGATTGATTTGTCCCTCCATAGTCCTTGATATGGAAACCCTCTACTGCCTCCCCCTTTCTAAGTTGCAAGGCCCAAAAAGGTGAGGGGCTCGTTTAATTTCCACGCCGTCCAGCCATCCTTCAAGCCCCTCCCACCCCCTTCCCTTCTCATTCCCAAACAATGCACCCCTTTTGCCAATTCACTATTATGAAATTGTATATTTATATTCATATCTACTTCATTCCTTGAATCTGAACTTCCTCAATGAGGTAGCTGACTATGATTGTGAGTTTTTCTGTTGTATCTGTTTGAGTTATATTGTCCATGGAAGTATAATTTCCCAATTTCCTTCTTCAGAGGTGCCTTCCCCGGGATGGTTTGGATGAGCACTTCGCCATACACATGGTAATGCTCAACTCCAGAACCTATAGTAATCCACTATATCCTAAATCAATTTGAAATTATTCTGGTTTGTCTTTTTTTATTTATTTATTAATAAGTTTCTGGGATAGGAGTGTGTATTTGATTACTGTATTAATTTAATTAATATGCGCGACTCATGCTATGCAGATTTCTCAACAACCATTTATTGTTTCTTCAAAGCACCCCTCTGTCCGAAAAGGAGACTTGTTCCAAAATTTTGTTTGTGCTAAATGTTCTAAAGAAAGAGTCTATTTTGATGAGGCGAAGCCAAATTCTCATGTCATTTGTCAAAAGTTTGCAAAAGGAGTCACAGACAAGTTGCATATGATAAGTTTGTTCCAGAAAACTACAAAGTTGCACTTGGGCAAAACATAATTCTTTTGTGATGAATGTAGTGAATTTCAATGGAAAAATTGTCGTCAACCCAACTGTGCCGCTGATTCTGTTGACAAGAAATGTTTTTTCAGATCTTCATCTCTATGCTACTCTGAAACTTTAGTGTTTAGGAATCTCAAGTGTTTTTACATTTAGTTTCACAGGAATATTACAACTATTTTCTACTGTTATGGAAATAAAGTCACGATGTCAATATGGGTACTACATGACTTTAATAGGACCATATGAAGTTAATACCACATTTGGCAGTTTGAGCTATCAAATGTAAAAATAAAGTCACGTCCTCCTCGTGGATCCCATGTGAATTGAATAGGATCCACATGACCTTATTTCCACATTTAGTAGTGTGGTCCACATCGGTTCCTTAGAAAGACTAAACTTGCACAGCCATTTATGTGATTGGCTCCTTTAAAACTTTCTTGTTATTAATATCTTTGGCTTTATCACTTATATTTTCTAGGATGGTGTCAACATTATTGGTGTTAATTATGGCTCTCCTGGCTCATGCCCGTATCCTCGGCCTTTAAAAATTGTAAGTCTCAACCAATAATTATTTAATTTGTCTCTACCCTCATCCAAACCATGCATGGTATTGCTGGCAGAGAACTCTTCCACAGCTAAACAACCTGTTTTATTGTTTGAGGTCTTGTTTGTGGATTCATTTAGTTCTAGAGAACCTCATTATTCTTGAACTGCACTCTGGATTCCTTGCTGGGGGTGGTTGTATAAATGAGCCAAAAGCAAACCTCATGTGAATGAGATATTTCTAAGGCCATTTTCTTCCTATTGCTTTTGTTGTTCCATTATCAACTAATGCATCCTGTGTATCACATGCGTGCTAATTATGCCCCTCTAGTTTGGGTGAATGGATGTTTATTTTAATATTTTAAAATAAGCATATACTGATATACCTTCTGTTTTTAAATACTAGACTTGCTATGATCAACTTGGTTATCTTAAGGAGATATAATAAAGATGCAATATTTCAATGTTTGCAAAACGATAAACTCATTGTCATTTGGTGCTACTGTAGGATGATTTCATAGAGATAATTTCAATATCATATCCGGACATGACCTACTTGCAAGCCTTAGCATGGTTGTTATGTTGTGTGTACTTTTTTACATACTAGCTTGTGGACTTCTCTTTTCTTTTTTCTATTTCACTCTTTACTTGTGTTTTTTAATATCAAAGTTCAATTCTTTTTGTAATGTAATTTCTATGTGCTCATTTAGTAAGAATTAATGGTATATCATATGCTGTAATAAACTTTGAACACTATTATTATATGATCTAAACATCAATTGATATGATGGACCATATGGTGTAACTAGCTAGTAATCCATGGGTTGACTTAATCTCTGAGGTATACATTTTTCTCCTTTTCAGCCTTCAAAGTGGTCCTTTAACTCCTACACAGTATTAAAAACAACAGAGCAGGCCTCCAAGTAAGTGTCCTTAGTTTTTGTTTTCTGTTTTTCCTTTACCGGTTATGCATCAATTGTTTCATAAAATGAAATGCCGCATGAATTATGTATTTGCTGTGTTTATAAGGTCCCCTGTGGCCCTATATAAAATTTTAATTTAGTACAATGCTATAAGGAAGGAATAGGTCCCATCTTCTCCTTCTCCCAACATGAACATTTTGGAAAAAGATGTTAGCTCTATTTTCATCAAGGAAATGTTTGGACCGGGAAAATGCAAAGGAGAAAACAAATGTTCAGTTATTTTCTTATGTTTGGTTCAATCATGGATAAAATCCTTCTATATGTATTTAGATTGCTTAGTCTTTGTGTAATAGACATAAATAAGTAAACGGAAAAATTGAATATCAACAAATATCTAAAATAAACATATTGAGTAACTTAATTTTAACAACCACACTGTAAAAAACTTATTGATTTTTGCGTTTCTTTCATTTAACACCACATCTTAGTTCTTTCCATTTATCTTTCCTATTCTCCCTCAGCATCTTCCAGCCCGACCCTAATCAACTTGTGCTGTTGAGTTTTTTTCTCTCATTAAATTCTAATTTAATCGATAACTTGTAAAAATATTTTGATCAGAGCTCCAATACTTCCTGAAATCGTAGTTGGAGATAATGCAGAAGGTGAAGAAGTAATGCCTCCAGAAAAATCATTCTGGGCCAAATATGTGAGAAAACAGTGAATTAAACATCTGTACTTTGCTTATTGGTACTCCTATCAAGTGCAAAAAACATTACACTGAGTCTCTGTTAATGATTGTTACAGTGGATGTATTTGATCCCCCTTGGCCTTATCGTAATGAATGCCATCACCCAAGCTATGAATATGGCTGAAGAACAGACAAGCGGGCAAGCTCCAGCCCAAATGCAGCAACAAACGGCTGGAGTTCCACGTGGACAAAGTAGTGTGGTACGACGAAGATGATAATAGGATGGAGATGAATCTCAGAAGGTTCTCAATTGCCAAAACCCCTTACTAGAATATTGACGTGTCTTACACGCAAATGTGCAATATTAAAGTGAATGTAGTATTGTACACATATTGATGAAAGCTGACACAATTTGAAAGGGCTTTCCTTTTTGTTGTTAAAAGACACATATTGACTCTGTTGCAAGTCAAATCGGTAAACATAGGAGTTGAAGCGACTAGTTTTGTTCTTCTTCATGTTGTTGTTGGAATGTTTAAGGGCTCAAGGCGGAACATGGAGTGCTTTTTCCCCTACAATGTGGAGTACTGCCTTGGACATCTCCCACTCGTTTTTCTTATATATATTTGTGTGGAAAATAGCTGTTCTTTGTGGTATTTTGTCACAATAGGAAGGTTAAAATTGTTGATAAAACGACCCTTTTTGTAGTAGCAAGTCGTTTTCTTAAGCGAATGCAAAGGTTTCAAGAAAATGTCTGGCAACATAAACACGAAAAGAAAATCATTATTAATAAAACAATGATTAATGGTTTGGTAACTTGGTTTAAGTCATTATTAATGGTTTGGTTTAAGTCATTGCTATCCGATGGTGTCCCATCACTAGAAATAGGAAAAACCTTAATTTTACTTGAATCGAGTGTTGATTGAGGGAAAATGTGCATGTGCAAAACTATTAGAAATATTCGATCAATTAATAATAAGTACAATGATTAAGGAGTCCCTATTACCTACCACCTTTATATTCCCCTGATCTTTTCTAGTTTATGTCAACGGGAGCTTTTTTGGGTGCATTGTTTTTTACGGGAATGACATGGTTGGATGATTTTTTTTAGAATGTGTACAAATTTATTATCTGACGTGATATTACCAAGCTAATATGAGCAGTAGACATAAGTTAAGGAATAAGCAAATATCTGCTATAAGTAATCTCGAAGCGAAATAGTAACAATAAGCAAGCTAAGTAATGTTGAAGGGAGGGAGCACTCGAAGAACTTAATAAGCTGGAGTGATATAATTAAAGGCAAACAATTAATCAGAGAAGGTACCTCGTACAAAACAACAACGTAAGCGCGATCTAACATAGTCTCGGTCGGACTGATTCATTTTGTAGTAAACATATAAAAAAACGTACAGGGCGATTCGAAGAGTGGGCGTATGAATTGAAAAGGACTACGTATTATTATTATTAATTAATTGCGCGGTGCTTAATTAATTAATATGGCCGGCGTGGAAAGCAGCAGCTGGGCGGGCGGCTAGGTAGCAGGGCAGTGGAAACCCTCGGGAGGAATCTTGCCACAGTCGTCGATGAGGAGGCGAAGGGCAATGGGGAGGATGAGGTTTATGTCCAACAGCTTGGCTCTAATGGTGGTGCATAGGCATATCCCTGCGTCCAACCCCGCCAGCCCCCCTAGCACTGGGCAGCACGTCTCCTTTGCGCTCTCCCCTATTCCGATGTGGACAAGTCCTCCCAGCAAGTCCACGCACGCGTCCAGCTTCAAACCGCCCACCGGGCATGTCGGTTGCGGCGGCGGCGGAGGAGGACACGGCTTTTCAACCGGCGGCGGCGGGCTCGGTACTACCACGTACGGTGGCGGTGAGACCGGCGGCGGAATCTGAGGTGGTGGTGGAGGCGGCGTAACCACGACCGGTGGTGGCGGGCTGGGCACGTACGGAGGTTTTACGGCAGGAGGCTGAAGCTGAGGAGGAGGTGGAGGCGGCGGGCTGGGTACTACGTACGGAGGTTTTACGGCAGGAGGCTTGGGCGGATAATGTGGCGGCTTTATGAGGGGAGGCTTGGGTGGATAATGTGGGGCGGGAGGCTTGGGTGGTATATGTGGGGCGGGAGACTTGGGTGGACAAGGGGGTGGCTTAGGATGCGCACGCGGCGGTGGCTTAGGCTTGGGCTGGGGGCAGTGAGGACATGCATGAGTGAAGAAGAAATTATTAGTTTGGGTTTGGAGGAGAAGAAGAAAGAGGAGCGGAAGCTGCAGTAGTCTAGTGCAGTAGCAGCAGCCTACTAATGAGTTCATCTTCATTTCTATGGCCGAAGAAGAAAGAGGATCAATTGTGTTGACAACAGCTAGCGTACTAAGAAGAAGTGCTAGCTAGCTACATGCATACATACTAGCTAATGCCGGCCCTTTCTTGATTAGTACAGTAGTAATTTTCATTACCTGAAAATATATAGCGGATGGCGGTTCATGGGATGGGAGCTAGTTGGGCATATATGGCAATATAATATTACAAGTGGGACGGCCTGCTGGCGCGGGCGGGCAATTTGATGTATAGATGCTTTTCCTTTCATGCAAAATGCCAAAATGCCTCAGCGAGCGAGCCCCCGCCCCCCTCCAATATCAGCCCAGCCCATGCCAACACCATTCATTATTTCTCAAAATCATCATGCTCCTTCCCTTTCACAATCTTCGTCACACTTTCCTTTTTTTGGTTGTTTCAAAATATTTGATACACTTCTATTTAAGGAAAGTTTTGACCTGCAAATTACCACCATACCCTCCCAATTAAAACACTCATTTACTCCTCACCCGTTTACTTTTCCCCATCAACCGCACCCCATTTACTCCTCTGCCCCATTTCTCTTTCCAATCAACCGCACCCCATTTACTCCTCAGCCCCATTCCTCTTCCCAATCAACCGCCCCATTTCTTCTTCTCGTTAATCTGCTCCACCTCTACGTTGCTACTCATCTACCACTTCTCTTCCAATGCAACCCCTTCCCATTCCTCAGTCCAATTTCTCTTCTCGTTTATCTTCTCATCCGCTGCTACCCATGGACCCCTTCTCCTCGAACCATCTACCCGTGTCTCTGGCGGAAGTAAAATGCCCTCCTCCACAATTAAACATGCAAGCGAAAAAAGGCTTAGACCTGATATTGGAAAACGCCCCTGTGCCTATAGATCCGTTGCAAGTGGAGCCTGTGCCTATACATCCGTTGCATGTGGAGGCTGTGCCTTGCTTTCGTCCATGGAGACTTCATTTTGGGGATTCTAGTGAGGATGAGACAGATCCAAATTGGGCAATTTGAAAAAAATATGGGGACAACCTTGTGTTCGACACATACGAAGGGCTAGATGGCTCGGTGGAAGATGGAGAGGAGGTGAGTTCGGCAGCGGCGGATGTGATGCGCACTAATTAGTAGTGCATAATTATATGTTTTTATGTTTGATTTATGTTGATTGTTTGACGTTTTATTTAGTTTGTAAACATTTATGTGATTTCAGTTGTAATTTTATTTTAGTCTCTATTTATAAGTTGTAAAGTATAGTTAGGATTTGTGGTGTTGGAAAGGAAGACTTTGAAGAGAAGAAAACAAGAAATTTGACTGCCCAAGAGTAAAACCCGACCGGGTAGAAACCCACACCCGGTCGGGTATGATTTAACAGACGAAATTGCCAAGAAAGTGACTGGACCCGGTCGGGTCCCCTACTTGACCCGGTCGGGTCAGATGTGACCCGGGACAAAACGACGTGCGAAGATCACCAGAACGTGGCGGATTATCTGATTTTGACCAGACCCGGTCGGGTAAGTACTTGACCCGGTCGGGTACCCGGCCAAAGGTGTTGAAAAACACCTATAAATAGCACATTTTTCTTCTCTAAAGAGCATCCTTTCTTCCATACTCCTAAGCTCTGTTTAGAATAACATTTCTTTATATTTTTCTAGCTATGTTTAGTCTCCAAATGAGGAGCTAAACTTCCATTCTTGGTGTTGCTCTTGAAGCTTGTTGATTATTAAAGTTGTGAGTTATTTTCTTAACTTCTTCCCTTGAATATTAATTATTAAATCTTTCCTTAATACTATCTCTATATTAATGTTGGGGAGTGTTGGTAAGATGACAATTAGTTAACATCTTGACATTAGTTAGAGTAGTATTTTCTTCCTCTATATTAATGTTGGGGAGTGTTGCTAAGATGACAATTAGTCAACATCTTGATATTAATTATAGTAGGATTCATCACCTTTAATAATATTTTTCCTTGAATATTAATTAATTCCTATTCATATTTCATATTAATATTTTGAACATTACTTAAAGGATCAACTAGTTTTGTTTCATATATTAATTATTACTAGAAACGATCGACGAACCGATGGTTAATCGTTGATGGTTTCACAAGTAAGTAACTTCAGTTTATTAATGCACAGTCGTGGTTGATAAACTTAAGAGGGGTTAATTTTGTTGGTTAAACCGAAACCGTTGTGTTGAGGTTATCAATCTCAATTGATTTCATCAAGGAGTTAAGAGATTAAATGCTACTATCAAGTCGGTATATGGCGGTGTTCTATACTTGACTAATAGTAAGGGTTATTAATGAACGGTCGTTGTTAATAACTACCCTCGATTAATTGGATATACTCCTCGATTGAGTATTCGAGAGGGAATAGGCCATAGATATAACGATGATCGACTAAAATATATCAACATGTGGAAAGTAGCAATGCCAAGTCCTTTTTATCTTTGAATTAAATCTCATATAAGTCGTTCATCTTAGTTTTTAATTAAATTAAATCATTCATCACCAAAACCCCCCCTTTTATTTACTAGTTTCATAAAAAGAGAATTATTCCTTTCCCTGTGGATACGAACTCTATTTCACTATACTACGTATAAGTGGTAGTATTGAATTTATTTTGACGCACCGTGACGAAGTGCACGTCAAATTTGGCGCCGTTGTCGGGGAAAGGCAATTACTTTTCTTTTTATTTTATCTCATAAAAAAAAAAAAAAAAATTCTTGCTCTTCTATTTTCTGAGCTTACATGAGTTATGAGTATATGGATACCAACACTTCATCCTTAGAGAGTCAAATTTCCTTCTTGAATTCTCTAATAAAGGAATCTATCTTTAACTCAAAAGCTCAAGATGCCAAGACATGCAACATTTGCATGTCACACAGGCATCTTACGGACTTCTGCCCAAAGCTCCTAGAAGAATACCTTGCACAAATTGATGATGTACCTCACATGAGGTATGATCCATTCTCCAACTCTAATATATCCACGGAGGACATGGTTCGGGCTCTTACTAACAGTGTGACCGCCATGCAACAAAACATGGTGCAATTCCAAAATGAGACCAAGTCTAGCATTTTGAACTTGGAAACTCAAATGAGTCAAATAGCCGGAGTCGTGAGTAGGCTTGAAGCAAGGGATTCAGAAAAACCTCCTTCTCAACTAGAATGTGATCCTAAACAGCAAAATTTTGCAATCACATTGACAAATGAAGAGGAAATGCAAAAGGAGATCCAGAATCCAGAAGAAGTAGAGGAAGAAAAAGACACGGAGCTCCAACTGGTCAAAGAAGAGGATAATCTGAGCTTCAAGGTCAAATATCTATCCTTGTCATCTTTTGAGGTACCCCCATCCATTCTAAAATTTTTGAGGGAAACTCATAAACTTGGAAAGGACAATGACATTTCTGAAATCCTCTTCAAAATTGAGGGATCGAAAAACTTTTCATTGACCATAGTAAACGATAATTTCTTCCCTTTCCTCCCACCGCATGAATCAATGACAATCTGGATATTTGATCCTGGAAAGATTCCCAAATTGAAGAGTCGAGAAGTTGAGCACTCCTATGAACGTCCTAGGAGTGAAAGTGTGAAAAAGATAAACTATCATGATCCAAGTTTGAATGACTGAACACAATGATGGCGTCGTGCCGCGACGTTAAATAAGGCGCTTCTTGGGAGGCAACCCATGCAAGGTACGTTTACTTGTTTTATTTTATTTTTACACATTTTAAAAAAATGAATCAACCCCCTTTGTCTTCCCATTCGAACCACAACCCAAATTTCCTCCATTTCCAAAAGTCAAAAGCTTCATATCTCCTACATCCATCCACCAATTAAACCCATTTCATTCATCACCTCTTCACCCTTTTCATCTCCACACCCACGAATCACCAACAAAACCTCCCAAAAAGTAACCAAAAAAAACATTCATCTCAGACACAAGCACTAGGGACAGTGCTTTGATTAGCTTGGGGAGAGAGTTTTATGGAATACTCACATTCATACTCTTTATTCTTGAAAAAAAAATGAAAAAAAAGTGATTATAAAAGCTTGTTAAGTTGAAAACCCGAAAGGGCAACTTAAGCAAAAATAAAGCAAAAATAAGAGTGAGTTGTGAGGGTTAAAACAGAAAAATGTGGGAAGCTGGGATGAAAACCCGAAAGGGCACCTAGGCAAAATGAGAGAACGAGAGAAAGTGTTTTCTTTTATTTCTGCAGGATCCTAAGGGTAACGAAAAAAAAGGGTTGAGGTTGATAAAGAAATATGGAGTTGAAGACCCTCTTTACTCTTATATTTTTGGGGATATACTTTATGTATTTCTAAAAACACTCGTGGATGTGTGTGTTGATATTGTTGTCATTTTAAGGACTTTTTGGACCGGATTTGATTTACTCTAGACGAGTAAAGGTTTAAGTGTGGGGGTGTTTGATGCGCACTAATTAGTAGTGCATAATTATATGTTTTTATGTTTGATTTATGTTGATTGTTTGACGTTTTATTTAGTTTGTAAACATTTATGTGATTTCAGTTGTAATTGTCTTTTAGTCTCTATTTGTAAGTTGTAAAGTATAGTTAGGATTTGTGGTGTTGGAAAGGAAGACTTTGAAGAGAAGAAAACAAGAAATTTGACTGCCCAGGAGTAAAACCCGACCGGGTAGAAACCCCCACCCAGTCGGGTATGATTTATTAGACGAAATTGCCAAGAAAGTCACTGGACCCGGTCGGGTCCCCTACTTGACCCGGTCGGGTCAGATGTGACCCGGGACAAAACGACGTGCGAAGATCACCAGAACGTGGCGGATTATCTGATTTTGACCAGACCCGGTCGGGTAAGTACTTGACCCGGTCGGGTACCCGGCCAAAGGTGTTGAAAAACACCTATAAATAGCACACTTTTTCTTCTCTAAAGAGCATCCTTTCTTCCATACTCCTAAGCTCAGTTTAGAATAACATTTCTTTATATTTTTCTAGCTATGTTTAGTCTCCAAATGAGGAGCTAAACTTCCATTCTTGGTATTGCTCTTGAAGCTTGTTGATTATTAAAGTTGTGAGTTATTTTCTTAACTTCCTCCCTTGAATATTAATTATTAATTCTTTCCTTAATACTATCTCTATATTAATGTTGGGGAGTGTTGCTAAGATGACAATTAGTTAACATCTTGACATTAGTTAGAGTAGTATTTTCTTCCTCTATATTAATGTTG